CCAAGACCTGAGTTCAAGCTCCAGAACTGCCACCCATTCCCCCTCCAAAAAAAAAAAAGCTGCATTAGTAAATGGAGTGGACTGGGTTTGTTTGTTTGTTTGTTTGTTTTTGCTTTTGTTTTGTTTTTTAGAATTTCAAGTTTGGCATTTAACTGAGTAGAAACATGAAGCATTTGGGAAATGTAAAATTTACTGGGAATTGCTGGAATTGCCTTAACTAATCTAGAATGAATGACTCAGGAAGTAAGCAAATCATGTGTGTGATTACTCAGAAAAATGTTTAAAGCACATTTTTGGTTCTTTTTCTCCATTTTCATCTTCTCTTTTGTATATTTACAACTGAGAAAAGATGGTGGCTTTATTTTTCTCTAGAGAATTTTAATTGACATAATTCAGACAAAATGCTTTTCAGAAAATACCTATATTAAAGTATCTCTATTACATTCAAATTAAGCAGTAGTGGGGAAAAAAAATGACCTCCAAACAAGAAAAAGATGGTCCAATTTAAGTACTGAATTTAAAATCCAGCATCTTCTTCCCCTCTCCTTTATTGAACTGTCTCACATTTTAGGCATCCAGAATGACACATTTTGAATGGATAAGTTCAAACCTTACCTGTAATGCACATGGAAATAATGCAGTTGTCTTATTTCGTGTGTCTCCATGCTAACTTTTCCTGCATTAGCAAATACAATGTATATAGCAAATACAATGTATACATTTAACTGTAGGCAAAAGGGGAGGAAAGGAAGAATGAGTTCCAAGCAAACTTCAGACATGAGAGCTTAAGTATCCTGGGGAAAGTAAGGATATCGTTCTTTGGAGTAAAGTGCTAAATGTGTCACAGTGTGGAGCTAAGTGACGTAAGACTATTAAGAGACGGGACAAAGGATGGAGGAAGCAGAGACTTGTAGGGTGATAGAGACCAGGGGCCTCCCTTAAAATGGAAGAACAGAAAGAATGTCGAGTGTGATTTCTAACAATTTTGAATTCACACAGTAAGAAAACGAATGCTTTGGACGATGCTCTTATTTTTTTTTCCCCAGAATTTTTGTTTTGTTTAGCTTTGAGATAGGGTCTCAGCATGCTACCCCAGCTATCTTTGAACTTGTGATCCTCTTGCCTCTTAATCCTAAGTGCTAGGATTACAGATGTGTGTCCCCTCATTTGACTGGATTCTTTCTTCCTTGTGCAATTATGTATTTCCTCCCAGTGTCGGACAATCCTTACCATTAAGAATGATATGAAATCTCTCTCTTCCTGCACAGATTTCCCCTCCTCTTCTTCCCTTTCCTTCTCTCTTCTTTCAATCTGAGTTGTTTCATCCTCTCTTCTTTTGGTTACCTATTACTACAAAACTAACTCTCCCAAACAGAGCGCTTTCAGCTGTCCTTCCTGTGAAATGACCGATTTCCTTCAGCAAGGTGGTTCTTGCCCAAGGTCTTCCATGGAGTTGCCTCTATGACTGATACTGACTGGAGTCACCCAAAACACCAATGGACTAGATGTCCAAGTTGGCTGGACATCCAGCATCTGACTGGATGAATCCTTTCTCTCCCTTCCTTCTCTCTCCTCTATATACTTCTCCAGTTTGGGCTTTCTCCTAGCATAGAGGTTTCTGGGTAGTCAGAAACCTTTGACATGGACTCTCATGGTAGCATGGAAGAAAGCTCAAAGCTTACGGCCTAGCTTATGGCCCTCACTGTGGCTCAGTTCTGTTGATCAAAGTAGGTTAATGAGCCAGCCTTGAGAGTGTGGTTTATCGGCAGTAACACTCTTAAAGACTACCTACCTCATTTCTCATCTTTCAAATTTTTTGTCCTTTTCTCTTTTCCCTATGATTGAAATGTCTTAGTTTCTGCCTCATCTAACACTTCATGTCTGTACTTTTCTGCCAGTCATGGTATGACCCATTGAAAGATAATTTTGAGGAATTCTTACCCATGCTCTCTTAATGAATCCTGAAGTTGTATTTTGATTTAGCTACATTGGAATGAAGCACTCTAAAGTCCCCATAGAAAAGCTGTGTGACTATATTTTAGAAAGTCTTTTTGGGAAATCAGATTTGATTCATTTTTAACCACCAGTGATAACATATCAAACGTAGAAGGCAGATCAATTTTAGGGAAAAGTGATATGCTGTCCCTGTGGCCGTCCTGGAGTGAACTCTTCAACAATATTGCTTTTCATGCTTAGCCAGTAATTAATGAGCCTGCTGTCTACTTGGGGCTGAGCTGTAATTTATTTTTCTGTTGGACCTCTTTTTCTCCCATTTAAGCTCTTACAAAGCTAAAGCTTTTTTCTTTCTCAATCTCTCAAGTCTGAAAAGGAGGGAAAAATAACTCAAATCTGAAGGATTTGTTGAATAATTACATGGTATTTGGGAAATTCTTTCCTGAAAACCTTTATGAGTAGATGGCTTAACTTTTCCCTAGTACTGTGAATGCCATCAAAGACTTTGTTTTTTCTAGAGTTATGAAGTCTTTTGTTTTCTTAAAGGTGCTAAATCTCTAAAGATTTTCCCTGGCAATTACAGAAAACAAAACGTGTTAAGAGGAAATGGAAAGTTAGAAATGACAAGTAATTTGATTTTTTTTTCTACTCACATGCCCTAGGGAAAGTCTACCATAAAAGATTAATTTGCTCACAAGGTTTCTTTGCCATTAAAAGAAACAGGAACAGCATGGCAGAAGCATTTCCTTACTCCAGGGAAAAGAGTAGTAGAAGCACAGCCCTCCTCCTTTTATACTGTTATAGCCATCGTGAGTGAAACCTCCAGGGCTAACTCAATATTATTTTTCTCAATTTGTTAGAGTCAGAAAACTCACTCTAAAAAGTGGTCAGTAATTACAATTTTCTGTACATTGTCTTCAGGAAAAAAATAGATTTTATAATTTTTATTTTTTATTATTATTTTAAAGGTAATATACAGAAGGATTACAGTTACATGTGTCAGGTAAAGAGTACATTTCTTTTCAGAAAATGTCACCCCTTCCCTCACTCTCTCCCAGCTTTTCCCTCCAGTCCCCACCCACCAGTTACGTAGCTCATTTTCAACATAGTGTTTAGTGAGTACCACACACTGCTGCATTTGTTTACCCTTTGTCCCTCCATTTCTGTGGCCTGCCTTACTCTACCCAAAGAGCAATCAATGAACAAACAAGATGAAAAGAAAACACAAACAACAACAAAGATAAAAACCTTGATTCTATGTCCTAGAATTCATTTCGATAAATATGATTTTATATGATCAGAGGCACCTAGACGTTGTGCCTTTGTGTTGCTTTCCTAAGAGTATCCTTGGGTCTCATTGTGTGTGAATGCCTAGAGCCCTGTAGAATTTATCATGCCCCAGTGTACTTTAGTTTTGAGGTAAAATTAACAAATAAGAGCCATATCTATTGGAAGAGAATATAGTACTTCAATGCAAATATCCATTCTGAACCCACTAGCAGTTAGCTTCGTAGCAAATGTACTTAACCAAACTTTTTTTATTGTTTTGTGAACACTTTTCACATCGATATTCACAAATTTTAAGCATATGGTATTATTAATTAGTTATGATCTGTGCATTAGATGCAAAATAGAACCTTTGTACACATTCGCCTCCGTTGCCCCAATCCCCTCCTCCTGCCTCCCCTCCCCCCACATCCTCCAACCCCAGACAACCACCATTATACTCTCTGCGTAGAAGAATTGGACTTTCCTGAATTCCTTCTGTGAGCGAGAGCATGGGACATTTGTATGGCTCTGCCTGTTTTGTGTCATTTAACAACACGTTCTCCAGTTTCATCTACATTGTCATGGCAAGGTTTCCCTATTTTTTAAGACTCTTATTCCATTGTGAATATATCTACATTTCTTTTACTCATCCATGAATGGAAAGCTAGGCCCATGTCATACTTTTTTGACTACATTGTTTTCCAGTTTTTTTTTTTCAATGTGAGAAAATAGCCGGTGACCCCATGGGGTCTTGCCCCTATAAGCTCTCCTTTACCACCTGGGTCTCACGGCAGATAAAATGGGCCTCCATCACTTTGGGGAGCAGATGGTGGCTCCTCTCAGTCATCTATCCCTCAGCTGCCACCAGCAGGAGGAGGGCAGGCACCATTTTCTAGGAAGCTTTAACCTCAACTCAACAGCAACCCTATCCTTAGAATAGCCAGCAAAATCCACAGACTCCTGGAACTCCAGAATCCCTCCCTGCCCACTCTCTTTCCCCACCCCGTGTCACCCAGCTGAGGTTGACTCAGGGCCCGCCTTGGTCCTGTTGGCTACAAATGGTGACACAATTTCCAGATTAAGGATGGGGGAAGAGGGTAAGGGAAGACCAAGGTGGTCATGAGGCCAGGATGGACACAGGTTCCTGCACCTGGCTTTATTTGTTCTCATACCTTTCCCCCATAGTCATATCTTGCCATTAAAAAAACAATAAACTTTTAATTAGATATACAAGAGGGTTTCAATTCAACATATGAGTTTAAGAGTACAATGTCACCCCTTCCATCTTTCTCTCCCGTCTCTACCAACCCCATTCAACTTAGCTGGTTCCAATCTCTCATTTGTACACTGAATATCAGGACTGTATGTGCACACCCCTCTTCTCTCCATTTGTCCATCCCTGACTCCTGACCTCCCCCCACTTCCCAACAACACATTTCAGCTTCCTGGTCATCTTCCTTTTTGCTGATGAGGAAACATGAAGCCTAACCATTAGGCCATGAACTAAAATGACTTGTGAAAATTAATTCCAAGTATCCAAACTACAGCGCTTAAGGTAAATTTGGCCAAAGAATGTGGTGGTCTCCTCGGGTAAGGTGAGGGACGTCCATCTTGGCTGTCTGACAGTTTAGCCAAGGTCCGTCGCTACCCATCCTGGTTGCTGTAATTTGCCATTGGTAATCCACTTGTGGAGAAAAGCGGGGGAAAGTGCGTGAGGTGAGCCTGTGGCACTTAGTCAAGTAACAATAGCTGTCACTCTCTCTTGTTTAACCCTATAGTGGAGTACGACAAGGAGTTCTCCCCTCGCCAGCGACACCACAAAGAGTTCAAGTTCAACTTATCCCAGATTCCTGAGGGTGAGGCGGTGACGGCTGCAGAATTCCGCATCTACAAGGACTGTGTTGTGGGCAGTTTTAAAAACCAAACTTTTCTTATCAGCATTTATCAAGTCTTACAGGAGCATCAGCACAGGTATGAAGGCTCAAGGAAGCCCCCCAAACGTGGGGCTGGCCCCCATTTCTCACTCCTGTCATCATGTGACCCCCCCAAGTATGTCTGTGGCAGGTGCACTGGAGCTCAGGGGCAGCCATGAACACAAAGGCGGGGAGTTGTGAAGGGCAGCCTTTACACAGAAACTCGTTCCACTGTGAAGTCCATTTCCTGTGGTTAGCTTTTTGTCAGCAAGCCTGTGATTGGTATCTACTAAGCACCCTTTGAGATCAGACAACAGTGACACGTTTTGGGGGTAAAATGTCATTCATTACTGCTTGGTCCCCACTTTGAGTGGTGGGTGAGGGTGACTAATGCCTCTATCAAAATTCTATAGTGATACAAGAGAGGCTGATTCAGGTGTCTTAGCCAGATATTTTTGCATCTAATATACACACACTTATATTTGCATAAGAGTGTATGCTGTATTTTTTACCACTGGATCCCAAGGATAGATAGATTTCCTTTTCCTCCCATATATCTCTTATTCTTATTCCTTCCCTTCCTCTTCCTTTCTCCTTCTTTCCTTCCTCCTTTCCTCCCTCCCTCCCTTTCTATCTTTCTGTTTTGTGGTACTGGGGTTTGAACTCAGGGCCTTGCTAGGCAGACTCTCTACCACTTGAGCCACACCCCCATTAATACTCGTATTTTCTAAAGTAAATCCAGTAAAGGATACTCATGGTGCTTCCTAACAGCAAAGGAAACTTCTGGGGAACAGTTGTTGGAAGAGGATGGGAAGAAGATGATGAAGTGTGGCAATGGTTAGTTCAAACCTGAAAGACACTAAAAAGAAACAAAGTTCTTTGAATGTGGCTCAGTACTTAGATGCCCATTTATTAGGTCCAAGAGAAGAGAGCAGGATGTATAGAGTAGTAACGTTCTCATTGTGTAGAAATCAACCCATTGCTGTGACAGTCTGGTTAAATTATATTATAGACACGAAGGTAACAATGAAGGAAGAGAAGAGAGATAGGGCAGGAAAGACCATGCTTCCAGACTCCTAAGGAATTTTTAACTTTCATTTAAGAAATTAAGTTCAGATTCTTGCATTGAGTCTTGGAAGTATACTAACTTCACAAGACTATTGAGATGTCAAGGAATAACTTTGGTTTCTTCTGAACTTGGTGATCTATCACAAATATGCTGCCTGCAATCACAAGGAATAGCAATTCTCCCTATGAATGGTTTGTTTCTTCATTGCAAGCACCACCAGTCTCTCTCTCACCTTGTGTTTCTTCATCTCTGAGCGGGGAAACTACAAGGAGAGGTGGAAACCTCTTGTTAGAGATCCATCATGGTGTCAAATTTCATAGTATTGAACATACAACAATGGCCTTGTCAGCTGAGATTATTCAATAACAAGCAAGACACGGCCATTGTGGCATCATTATAAAGGATCCAAATTTCTGAAAGAGGGGGATATTTTCAGATGTCTGATTTTTACCCCTCAATTGAAAGTCGATTCAATAGCTTTCCAATTGACAAAGCGGAGGGCCGCTTTGGGGCTGCAAGTCATTCGTCTTTGATTCTTTGGAAAGAATTAGTATTCAGAGATTCTTGGGCACAATTTTAGCCTTGGACTTTTCTATCTGCCTAATCATTTATTCTATTCTATTTCTCTGTTGGGAATAGCCTACTGGTACCTTTGTGGCTGTGAAGTTTTTTGCGATGCATAGTTTTCCCTGTTCTGTGGGGAAAGTATCATAGTAAAATAAAATAAAACAAAAAAGAAAAAAAACCTGTATGCTGTAAATTTATGGCTTAGGCTCTCTTTGTTCTAAAATTATTATTATTATTTTAAGAGAGTTGACAGACCTTTTGTGAGGTTTATCCTGAATTCCAGCCAAAAAAGAACAGCTGCTTTGTGCTCAGGATGGTGGAGACAGACTTCCTTGAGGCCTACAGTGAGTTTGGAAAATGAAATCTTGAAGAATCCCAACTTTGGATGGCTCTCTCCCAAAGCAGAGAGCCGTCGTCCTTTGCCTCCTAGGATGGGACGCTTGGCAATGGGATGAGGTTTAATTTTTGTGCATAGGAGAGGGAACATTTTGGGAGGACTGGGAGAAGGTTATGTTTTTAAAGGGTTGTAGGCTGGCCATGGGAAGGTTTTCTTATCTGCAGGCCAGAAGCCCAGGCCTCCTGATGCTTCTTCTAGTGGCCTCCAGAGGCTACAAGGCTTCTTGGTTGGTTGGTGGGGGGTGAGTAATAGATATCCTCATCTGTGCCTCTTGGGGTATCTTGGCTAAATACACTTTTTCAAGCTTGTAAAGGAATGTATTTGTCTAATCTGTGTTTAAGTGAAATTTGTAGCACTTGATGGATTCACTTCATTTAGCAAATGTTTGTGTTGCAAAAGAGTTGGCCGCCTTGAATAAAGGGGTGAAGGCAAAAGTCAGAGTTTTATACTTTGCCTTTTCTGTTTCTCCATTAGAGCCTTGGTTTCTTTCTTATATTCTGCAATAGTGGGCTTGAACCTAGGACCTCAGGCATGCTAGGCAAATGCTCTATAAATGCTTTAGGCAAATGGTGTATTGGGTCAGAGAAGGACAGGAAGGATTCGTGTTTGGTATGAATTATCGGGTACGTTTTTAAAAAACAAAAAATCTTGGGGCTGGCAGCTTAATCCTGTAATCTTAGCTACTCAGGAGGCTCAGATCTGGAGGATCACAGTTGGAAGCCAATCTTGCCCCCCCCGAACCCCCCCCCAAAAAAAAAAGTTTGTGAAAATACCTAGCAATACCCAGAATACCTAGAATACCTAGCAAAGACCATCTCTGGAGGTGTGGTACAAGTAGTGTCCTGCCAGCCCTAGCAAGTATGAGGCCTAGAGTTCAAATCTGAGCCCCACTCCCCTCCCCACCAAAAAAAAAAATGGCTACTTGAACAGATGATGCTTTGAGTAATATCAAGGAAACATTTAGTACTTTACTCAAAGCTTGAGACTAAGTCCTCCACCAGGGCCAGATCATGGAGAGATAAGCAGCGGGTCATAGACTGAAATGAAATCCACTCAACCTTCTACACTAGTGTCCAAACCACCCAGGATGTTCTTTGCATTTTCTCTCTTTAAAAAAACAAAACAACACTCCATGCCTGAGCACCTGTGCCTCACACCTGTAATCCTAGCTATTCAGGAGACTGAGATCTGAAGGGACAGTCAAAGCCAGCCCAGGAAAGAAAGCCCACGAGACTCTTTATCTGCAATTAACTACCCCCACCCTTCATTCCCCCCGGCCAAAAGCTAGAAGTGGATCTTTGGCTCAAGTGGTAGAACACTAACCTTGAGGGAAAAGAAAGAAAAGAAAAAAAATAGGCCTTGAGTTCAAGTCCCAGGATTGGCACAAATACAAAATGAAATACACAAAACAACAACAAACCACTCCATATTTGTATGTGTATTTACCTTATTTTAGTAGTGGGGTTTGAACTCACGTCCTTGACTTTGCTAGGTGGGCACTTTACCATTTGAGCCACACCCTATCTGCTTTGACTATTTTTAAGAGAGGCTTTCACTTTCTGCATATGCAGCTTACATTTTGATCTTATTTATGCTTCCTATCATAGCTAGGATGATAGGCACACACCACTACTCTACATTGCCCTGTTGAGGTAGGATCTTTTTTTTTTTTTTTTTTTTTTTGCTTGAGCTGGCCTCAATCTCAACCTCCAGAATAGCAAAGGTTACAGATATGGATCTTCATATCTGGCTGTGATGGCTAGCATGTATGAGGCCATGTATGAAGTGCCATAGCACTTCCAAAAATGTAGAACTGTCAAACAGTTTGGAAAAAGCAATATTCTGTCAATAGGAGTCTGCCATGCCCATCAGATACACAAGGCAGGAATGTCACCTTTGAGAGAACGAAGCAGGGCACATAAGAACTTTGCCAAGACCAAATAATGCCTGAACTCTTGTCTTCATGCTTCCTACCAGTCACCTAGTAACATAGGGTCAGTACCAAGACAAAGGTGGGGTATCAGGAGGTGAAAAGCAATCTCGTCTGACATGTCTTTATGCCTCCATTTTTTTTGAGCTTTGGTGTGAACTTCCAAAGAGGGCCTCCTTCTAACCAATGGGTAGTATAAGAATATGCTGGCAGAATTCAGCCCTGATACTAGGAAAATCAGTATGCAATTTCCTCAAAAAAATTAAAAATAGCTGGGTGCCAGTGGCTCATGTTTGCAACTCTAGCTACTCAGGAGACGGAGATATGAGGATTGTGATTTGAAGCCAACCAAGGCAGGAAAGTCTGTGAGAGTATTATCTCCAATTAACTACCAAAAGCCGAAAGTGGAGCTGCAGCTCAAATGATAAAGTATTAGCCTTAAGCAAAAGAAGTTCAGGCACAGTACCTGGGCCCTGAGTTCAAGCCCCAGGACCAGCATGTGTGCACATGTGTACACACACACACACACACACACATACACACACACAATAATACTACCGTATGATCCAGCTATATTCTTTTCTACGTATGTAAAGAATCAAAGTTCAGTGGGATAGAGATGCATGCATATCCTTGCTATAACACCACAGTTAAGTCATAGAATCGTCCTGGGTGCCCAGGAATGGATAAATGAATAAAGAAAATGCTGTCATATACATACAATTTGAGAATCCATAATCAAGAAGGAAGAGGCCGGGTGCAGTGGTTCACACCTATAATCCTAGCTACTTTGGGAGATTGGGAAGATCATTATTCAAGGCTAGCTCAAGGCTAGCACTCTACCACTTGAGCCACAGTGCCACTTCCAGCTTTTTCTGTTTATGCAGTACTGAGGAATTGAACCCAGGGCTTCATGCATGCTAGACAAGCATTATTACTAAGCCACATTCCCAGCCCAAACCAGCCTTTTTTGAGTAGTTGGCTGAAATGTCTCATGGACTTACCTGCCCCGGCTGACTTTGAACCACAGTCTTCAGATCTCAGCCTCCTGAGCAGCTAGGATTATAGACGTGAGCCATTGGCACCTGGCTCTAG